GGGAGCAACTCTAGAAGTGTCTTGGTACTCCTCTCCTCAGAAGTTTAGCTTATCATCCACAAACTGATGGTCAGACAGAAAGAGTCAACCAAGTACTTGAGGATATGTTGAGAGCTTGTGTCATTTCTTTTCCAGAAAAGTGGGATGAATGCTTGACTTTAGCGAAGTTTTCTTATAACAATAGTTATCAAGAAAGCATTCGAATGGCACCTTTCGAAGCTCTATATGGCAAGAAATGTAGAACACCTCTTAACTGGGTTGAAGTAGGTGATTGTGGTTATTTCGGACCTGATTTTATTAAAGAAGCGAGAGAGCAAGTCAGTGTTATTCAGAGTCATTTGAAAGTAGCCCAGAACCGTTAGAAAACTTATGCAGACAAGAGGAGGAGGCCTTTGCAATTTGAAGTTGGTGACCATGTGTATCTCATGGTATCTCCGATGAGAGGAGTGCATCGGTTTAGAGTCCGTGGGAGATTAGCTCCTCGTTATGTTGGACCTTTAAAGTTTTGGAATGGTGTGGTACTATTGCTTATCGTATCCAGCTCCCGAATATTTTGTCGGCAGTCCATAATATTTTCCATGTCTCCCAGCTAAAAAGTGTTTGCAAGTTCCCGATGAAGTGGTGGAAATTGAAGGAATTCCTCTCCAACCTGATCTTTCTTACATTGAGCATCCCGTCAAAATTTTGGATGAAAAAGAGAGTCACTAGAAATAAAGTGGTGAGATTTTATAAAGTTCAATGGCAAAACCATTCGGAGGACGAAGCAACTTGGGAGAAGGAGAATTATATTCTAGAACATTAGCCTCATCTCCTTCCTAATGCGGCGAGGTAATGGTTTCAATTGAAATTTATTTCTCATCTCTTTCCCACACTAGGCACACATATGAAATCTCGGGACGAGATTTTGTATAAGGGGGGTAGAGCTGTAACACCCTTGGTGTTACGCCCTAAACCAACTACTAAACCACCTCATGAGCATCATGTTTATGTGTTAGAACATGTGGGAAAGTGAAAATAGAATTTTGGTTGTACTAAAAATGCCCAACGAAGATTTAGTTACGAAAGGTTCTAGTGCTTGTGTTATGGAGTAGGCCTATAAAACAATTTTTATTAAGCAAAAATGTTATAAAACATGTATGTGACATTTAAATAAAGTTTGAAGTACAAACTTTGTAGATGACAATGCAACTTTTATCTTAGGAAAATAATATTGCTAGCTAGTATTTTTAATAGCTTAGAAACGGAACTTGAAATTAAATCCAGCTCAAGACTTAGAAAAATCCTCAAGTTTGAAAATAGTGTGACAAAGCTATGTTGGTGAATTAATTTTGGAAAATTTAGCTAATGGTCAGTACTATGTTTTTGTTCCGTATGGTTGTTTGATGTACCCTCTTTAGCATGGTTTAGGTGGTCGAGCCTCAATCAAATCGATTTAGTTTTGTCAAACATTTTAAAATCCATGCACGAACATCATCTCGGGCTGGTTGGGCAGGTGTGTGCGGTCACCACGCTCGGGAGCACGACGTCGCCATGTTTGGTCGCCTATGCGCACGCACGCTGCCGCGTGTTGGCCGGCCAAGGCTGTCCTTGGCCTGGCCGCGGCCTATCTATGGCTTGGCCGATGCTAGCCGCTGTGCTACTGCCCCCACTGCCGCGTTGCTGGCCGCTGCGCCTACCGTTGGCCACCTACCTGGCTGGCCATGGACCACTGGTCACCTCTGGCCGCTGCCACACGGTGCTGCTGCTGCCGCTATGGCACCATGCTTTGTTGCTGTTGCTCGCCTCGTCGTTGGGCGCACGTGGGCTGGCTCCCTACTACCTTGCGTCGTCGCCTCACATTAATGGCGCTGTGGCCGCACATGCCGCACTCCCTAACTGCCTATGCGCACGCATGTTTTCTTGCTGCGTTGTCTCATAGTGAGCACGCAGGTGCTGTCTCGGGTCTGGCCTGCCGCTTGCCGCCAAGGCAAGGATTGCCAGAGCTCGGACCTACCCTTCTCCCTGCGGTCTCTGCTGTCTGAGCCGCACCCACGAAATCCACCAGAGAAAGATCACCTCAACTCGATTCAACTCGTCCGTGGCCTCACCATTAAGCCACCTAGCCGCCCGACCCCATCCCGCCTTGAGTTGAGCCTGGCCAAGCCTGAATTTGGTCACTTCCCCGCCACCGAGCCATTAAGGCCATGCTCCTTCGACGCGGGTGGCAACTTTCCTAACGGAGCCATGAGAGGTCGGTCTAGCTGCACCATTAGCTCCGCTTTGACTCCTTCTTCACCCTGCGCTCATCAGCCGAACCGCTACCGCTACCTTGGTGCCGCTGATGCGACCGTGTCCGCCGCGGTGTGTCGCTGCACGGCTCGGTCGCACGTGGTCCGCCCTCCTCCGCCATCCTCTACTCCAACTGTCAATTTGGCCGAGTCCACGATAAGCTCCTGATGCTCAGCCGCTAGCTGGTTAGGTCTATAGTTGCCCTAGTTCACCAGAATGGTCACGCCACCATCATGGATCGCGGCGCGTCACTGCATCCTCACCAGTGAGCCGTGCCACTCCTCACCGCCACCCAGCACAGTAGTTTGGATCGAGGATGGCGATCGACCCGCTTGATGGGTCTACGCAGGTCCCAGGTGGCCGGCGTAGCCACTCTGTGCCGCTGCTCGCCGCGCCGCCGTGCATAGAGTTGCCTAGGGGTGTGTGCGGGGAAATTAGGAAAAACTTAGGGGGTTAATGAATTCGTCGGAGAGAGGAAAAAATAGTGTTGGGACTTAGATATAGTTCGGGAGAAGTCTGGAGGCTCTTTTGCAAAAGCGCCAGTGCACGTGCCCCCCCGTCGTGGGCCATCTCGTGCGTGGGCCACGTCCGCGCGGGCCACGCGTAAGTGGGCTGCGCGGTTGAATCCGCTTTTTATTTTTCTTTGGAATTAGTAATAGTTTTGCCATTTTAATTTCTGAGCTAGATTTATATAATTGATATAAATTTATGTAGGTGTCCAAAAATTACGAAACAAATTTTGTTATGTTCCTAAAATTATGATTTATCTGGTAGAATAGATAGAGCATGTATATCTGTGTTGATAATAAGGGCTATTAAATCGTTTGAAAGTGCTTAATATTATTAGGGTAATTATTGTAGGAATTTTTGTGGTAAATTGGTGATAGCTTTGATCCTAAAATTTTTACAGTAGCTTCATTGTATTATTATGTGCTTACTGTAATTTTTGTAGCCCTAATATAACTTGTTTATTAGGGTAGCTACATATCAATTAAACCTTTAATATGAATAAGAGCATAACATTGATTTAGAAAATTAAGCACTTGTTAGGATGAGCTTGACACTTGATTTGATAGAGCTGATGGTTAGCTTAGTATCTTAGTCATTAGAGCTACTTTGTTAGTATGTCATATGTGTTCGTATTTTAAAAGTTGTTGTTGCCTAAATACTAAATCGTTGCATCATCATCATCGCATGCATATAGAGAACGAGTCGACGAAGATCATGACCACCGGTGAGCACGAGTTCTAGGAGATCGTCGAGGAGGAGGTCCCAGAGCCACCACTGACTGACGCAGTTGACACCGCGCCTGCCCAAGACAAGGCCCAGTACATAACCATTATTTTTCATATCCACCGTGTGTGTGTGTGTGTGTATATATATATGTGTGTGTGTGTGTGTTTGTTTATGGGAGCATATACTTGCTTATGGGAGCGGGAAGGCTCGTTACACTCTTATCGTGGGTTCCGACTCTTTCCGGACCGACTGATTGGAGGCGGGGAAAGGTAGAGGTCTAAGCACCATACTGAGATCGGGTCTCAAGTGTGGGGGCTTAGAGTCCAAGTTTAGACGGGGACCTAGACTCCTCGACATGAGTGGAATGGGTTGATCTCGTTTATGCCTAGGGTACAAGCGAGGCGTGTGTTTCGGAATACCTAACTGTGATACATTGGTTTGCGAATCGCCGTTTCCGTGAGACGGTATGACTTGGCTATGGTCTAGCACCGTATTAAGAACTAGAATATGAAAGATGGTAAATTGGTTCTTATTGCTCAACCCTTGCTTGAAAGTAGAACAAGTGCTTACCTATAATGGTTAGCTAATGAAGTAATCTTGACTGCTAATTAAACTTGATCTTAAGGACGTACTTCTAGTAATGCTTTTCGCAAATAAAAAGAAAACAACAAACCCCATGTTGCGTATCATACCCTTTGGAGTCGCGAAACTATTTTCATTAGTCGGGTAAGTCTTGCGAGTACATTATGTACTCAGGGTTTATTTTACCCTGTTGTAGGCACAGCTTGAAGAGTAGCTCTTGTGTGGTGGATTCTTCTGGTGGGCACAGACAGATCCTTGTATAATTTTGGCTAGATGATTATTACATTTTCCGCTGTTTAATTATCGCACTCTGAACTCTGGTATTGTAATAAATAATTTTCAAAACTCTATGTTGTATGAAATGGACTAAGTATTTTAAAATCGTACTCATTATTGGATTCTGGATGTAAAATATAGATTGATTCGAGTTCTTCCGTGGGGGTGTGCTCGATGGAACTGCCCGATGTACCTAACTTTCGGGGTGCTTAGTGTCTAGTAGAAGATGAGCGCTTTCGAAAACGTAATATTTCGAACGGTTTTGTCACACCAGCAGTCCACCGACTTCCCACATATTGAACACATGTCAAATAACCTCAACCCTTGATTTCAAGTCGGTTTGATGGCGGTGGATCCAACGGGTGCATGATGAAGCTCACACGGATCGTTGACGTGGCGCCGGAGTAGCCCCTACTCATCCTCTAGCTATAAATACTCCCCTAGGCCTTCACTCTCATGTATGACACATTAGAGTGAACCACTCTCTAGTAGCTTTTAGCGAAGCTCTACTGTAGTGCTATGCAATTAGGGAGAGAGTGAGGGAAGTCTTCAGGAGAAAGCCCCGGGCCTATCGGGAGTCTTCTCCAAGGTGTACCTTAACGGATGCTATCTTCTAGTAAGTAATACATCCGAGTTCTTTATAGTATTTGATATTCTGTCAAAGCACCATCAAGGTTGTTTACACTTAGCCACTTGCCATCCATTCGTATCTGCAGCCCTTGCACATCATTCGCCTGGAGCAGCAGCGTCAGGCATGTACCATCAGTATGTGGCGACAGGCCTAGCACCTTGTCAGCCTGCTTGCATGGAGGGTAGTAGTTCATCCGCATGCTCTGAGGTTGACCTCTGAATCTCTCTAGGAAAGTCTCCGGATCAACGCCCATGTCTATGGCCAAGGACATCAACGGGCAAGATACTAGCTTTGTTCCATCAGAGTACCTGTCTATGGAGTCCCTATCAAGATTCAAAGTTATCACAGAAGGATGCAGTCAAGAGAAGGAATAAAGTGCTATATATGTCAAGACCCATGATGAAAAATTGTGGTTTAGTTCAGGGAGACCAGAAAGATGGAGGAATAATAGGCCAGAACCTCATGTCCCTTGAATCGCTTGGACGGAGGATGAGGTGGAACACGTCTGCCCAGTCCAGTTTCTGGTCTTCTGAAACAACAAAGTGCTGACCATACCCTTCAAGACTGTCTGGTATCATTGAGTACACCTGCTTTGCTTCCAGTGGTTGTTTAAGAATTCAGTCATGTCACTCCTGAAGTTGTGGATCACTTCTTCTGGTACACCATGGTTAATGAGCTGCAATTTGTTTTACATCAACAACATTATCCTTCTTGATACTATTTCTGTCAATTAAAACTTAAAACACATGTAGATGCAAGTTTTGCTGTGTTATGGACATTGATCATTTGCGGAACTGGAGTGTATAGAGTGGTTGTGATCTCAACAGCTTAAATTTAGCTCTGATCTTTACTATACAAATATCAAAGAGTACCAGACTTCTTTCTCATAGGCTTTGTGTTTAGGCAAAAGCCGGAAGTGAATGTATCAACTGTGAATTAATAAAATCCTTCCCTCATAAAAAAAATCAAACATACATGTACGTTGCTGAGTACAACTTATTATTCAACAACGCGGAAGACTTGTAGATTGGAGATTTATTCGATGCTCGTGCCATGCATTCATCTTGGAAACAAATTTCATAATGTATCTGGGCACGCATTATTCTAGCTCGTATAAGCATGAGAGCCTTGCAAATTCTATCCAATAATAGTGTCAAGCACTCCAATTCATCTTATGATCGGACTTATGGACACGTTGCTCTAACTTGTACAGACATGAGAGAGAGACCGTGAAGGATCACTGAAACACTACTACTTTAATATTAGTACAGGTGTGTATTACTATTTTTCGGAAAAAATATAGTTCATACTTGGAAACATGCATACCTAAAACGCTTCTCTTCTGTACTAGGAGTGGACACGTACTAGACAAACAAATTTTGAACCTACGTCCTCTAATTCGAGTTTGCTTCTCTTTCACTTGCCTTGTATGAGACGACTAACGCTCCATATTCTCTACTAGTATAGTGCCCGTGCTAACGCCACGGTTTCATATCAACGATGCACATAAAAACAATCAAATAACGATATTTTTCCATAGTTTGTCTCACGCAATTGTATATGACCATGTGGTAGTAGACTAATATTTACTCACAAATGGATTGCAGAACCGAAACAAATGGAACTTGTAAGAACCAGCACAAATGGTTTTCACTTTGAATGATGCATAGGAATTTTAAAAAAATCAAAAATCAAATTGACAAGTATGATCTTTTGATAGGCAGTTTAACAGAATCAGTCGCTAGATGACCAAGCAAAATAGATCATCATCACACAAGCAAGAACATCACAAAGGACAGACCGATTAGTGATTTTACCTTGTAAAGGGGTGGCGGCTCTTCATACAGTAGGCTACAGAGGGTCGGCTCAATTTGCTGCACGTTGGATAGAGAAGGGCAGCGCTGCTTCTTGGATGATGGAGCAAGACGTAGCTACTTCTCCGCGTCCAAGGTCTGGAATACATGCCTTTTACTTTTCTTACTTGCTGCAGTGCATGAAGAAATTCTACTCCCTCTTGACATGTCCATTCAGCCCAATCATCACTAATGAGGACCAAAGAAGATATCGATGAGCAAAATATTCAAAACCACAAAATGACATCAATGAGCTATATTGAGTAAAATGGCAAATTACAAGAAGCTTCAAAAGTGTAATAGTAGCATAACCCAAACTGATGTCATGTAAAAGCTGAAAAAGAAGAAAAAACATAGAGCTAAAAAGTTCTGGTTAGCCGTCTTCGTATTAAAAACCACATAGCTCCACACATAATCCAATAATTAGAATAATGTCAAATTCCATTTTAATAGCAACATTAGTGAAGCCTTGAAGTGCATACAATTTAGCAAAATATAGCAGTGCCGCAGGGCCAACCAACCAAATATTAAATGCCTATAGTCAGAGCTATTTAGGGGAAGCAATACATGTGCTTGTATTTAATAGGAGGTGGAAAGCTACTCTTAGCAAGCCAGACATTAACAGGCACTGTCGACAGGTCAAACTCTGTATGTAAACCAGAGAGCACAATTGATATTTATTGCTTGGATTAACAGTAAAAGCATATCAAAATTCCTAATTCTTTGATCATGTGTTTTTATATTTGCTCCGCACATGCACATTGCCTCTGGAGACAAAGATGAATATTACAAAGCATACTGACCTCCCTAAATGTCTTGCGAGTGACAATAGTTCCATTTGATAAAGCGTGACATTAAGCATGTTCCAAGCAAGGCCAAATCGATCAAGATCTATGCGGAAGAACAAAGGTAAAAAAAAAACAATATAATCTGAAAACAAATTAGGTTGTCAAAAATGGCACCATGGTATACTGATCTTATAAGCATCCTGGTAGATAAAAAAGGAAACTGATTTGCTGTCAAACCAACCCTGAAACTCACCATCATCGTAGGTCTTGGACCTTTTGTTTTTTCCACGTGACCGAGCCGTGATCACGTTTTGGACTTCGCAACCAAGAGTAGCACACTTTATTTATCCTATAAAAATTTATTCATAAAGGAGCGGAAAGTAAAATTTATATTAATTAAGCATACCGAAATTCCAACTGATGCATCATGTTTGACAAGGCTCTCCAACGATCATTTTCCACCGATCTTGGGTACTAACCTTTTCTTTGACCTGAGCTGAAAAATAGAGGTCACAGATTACATGAAAGAATGACCAAATGGCAAATGTGCTGACAATAATTGAAGTATGACTGCAGATCTTGTATGCAGAGCAGTAAACTCATCATCAATTAAAAGTCTACCTTGTTATAGTTACGATGACTGGAAAAGCCAAAGAAATTGTTAGATTAATTACTTGAAGACCCTATCTTAACAATTCATCTATTGAAAGCTACAAACCACCTGAAAATGTAGAATCGATGGCTTCACCGATCTATTGTTGTGCTGAAACTCATAACACTTGCTGCTTGGCTCTACTTGCTTGCATAACTAAAAAAATTGTTTTTTTCAATTTCAAATAATTAGGCTTGAACAACTGAAATAATAAAAATAAACTTTGATAAATAAGCATGGATGTTAGCGAAGACACCTTATCCATGAGCTCTCCAGATTCAGGGAAGTTTTGTAGTTTTTGTACTATTCCAACCTAGCTATAGAGGGGTAGAGAAACAGAAATACAACAAATACAGGGAAAATCGAGTTCATACAAAACAGGTGGAATACTACAAACACAGATGATGGAGGCAAAACAGGCTGTAAGCAGCTGTACAGTAGCTTTCTTTGACCAAATACTCTTGAGAACTATAATTACAAATATAAAAACAAATGATAATAATAGGGAGAGTGAACATACATTCTCTACAACACTTATAAGAAGAGGAGGCCTCTTTGGAAGTTGAGACCGTGATTGATCAAGATCACGAAAGCATCCAGTTCATCTGATGTCCCAAAAACGTATTTCCATGTCACAGCCACCTTTCATGAAAATCCACTCATGCGGAGACAAGAAGGTGCCATACAAGAAAAACAATCATATTTTTATCACTGCATTAGCTCAAAGAAACTAACCGCGGTCGAAGCTGACCGGACAACATAAAGGCTCCAGAAGCAATGTCACACAGACGGACCTGAACATTTGCGCTCCCAGTGACGATGAGCATGTGCATTGTCGCGATTGGAGACATGGCTTCAGTCTACACTTTTCCAGGCATCTTAAATTCCATGGCGACCTGAGAAAACAGAACAGTGGAAGAACATGCGGGATCACGAAACAGGGGAAGGAAACAGAGAGACTGGTAACTGAAAAATTCCTAACAACTCCGCAGAAGCGAAATCTACCGCGACAGCAAGAACTGAATCTCCCTCAACCCAATTTTTTCAATGCGCCATAGCTTTAGAGCGATCACAGTCCCCAAATCCACATCGAAATCAGAAACGCACAAAGAATCTGCAAAGGTGGCCGCGAGAGCAGAAATTCCAACACTCACCAGGAATTTGGACAGCACGCCGTGAGAAGGTCGACAAACGTGGCGGGCGAGACGGCTGGCCGCCTCCTTCCTCGTGGCTGGCCCACCTAGGGCACAGATTGGGTTCAAGCGCCCTGGTGTTCCCTGGAGGCGCGCCCGGCTGGAGCCCGATGGCCTGGCGCCCAGCACCCTAGCGGCCTGTCCTCTCCTACAACACCGCCACGGAGCCGTGGCAGCAGTCGAAGAGGTTGAAGAGGCCGACGTCCGCCTCCTCCTCTTCCTCCTTCCTCTTGGCCTCCTCCTCGGCTTCGGTAGCGGCGGCGGCAGGAGCGGCGACCACGACGGCGGCGGCGCACGTCATCCTCGGTCAGGAGCGCGGGGACCGGGGTCGGGAGCACGGCGGCCCCCTCCTCGGTAGCCGCGGCGCGGAAGTAGGAATCGAACTCGGGCGTGCGGGATGTGGGGAGGAGCGAGGGCGCGGCGTCGGCGTGCTGGGTGTGGATGCGTGAGAAGCCGGGCATCCACGTCGAATCGTGGCAATTGGATTTGATTGAGGTGTTTTATTAGCCTTTAATTTTAACGAAAATAAATCTTTGTGTGTATTTTTGGGTGTATAATAGTTAGAAGCTCTCAGCGGATGACGTTTTCTAGGGGGACCTAGTATAGTTTTGATTGGTCCAATGATTGGTGAATGTAGCACTCGGTTTTAAGAACAAAACCAGATACACACCATATGTGAGCCCAGAAAGTCAAATCTCATATATAGCTATAAATAAGGGTAATATCAATAGACAATGCTCAATATATAACGTACTTAGTATAGTGAATATAACTTTAGATAGCAAACAGTGGAAAGACAACTTCGATCTTCGGGTGAAGATTCCAATTTCACAGAAACAACTGACTGGTTGATCGCAAGTTTAAATCCTCCAAACTCTAGCAATCCGGTATCCATCCGAGATTTTTATCTAAATATTTGAAAAGTAAAGCAAGCGTAAGTACATGTCGTACTCAACAAATATAACATGGGGTTCATGAGGCTAAAAAGGCTGATACGGGTTCAACTGCGATTAGCTTTTAATGAGTCATGATTTTAGCAATTGAGTAGCAACAAGTTTATCAACAAGCCCATATAAACAAATGATTAGGTAAACATGAATAATGAATAGCATAAACAGTAATCATTAGTGAGCATCTTCATTATCTGTATCATCAGTATTCATCATCATTAACCATTAGTGATCATCTATTCCGTAAATGTTCCAAGGCCGCTCGTGACCGTAAGTACGACTGATATACCAGTTTTACACTCTGCAGAGGTTGTACACTTTTACTATGAGTCGTGATTTACCCTTTCACCCGAGGCAGCCAACCTCTTGACCCACTACCAAGGAAGATCGGCAGGGTTCACTATGAAGCCTTTCAAAGATTCGTCTAGCAAGTTAGGGCCATTAGATTCAGTCGGCAAACAGATGTAGAGCCCCCCTTTCCGATGGCACACTGACGCGCAACCTATACACAAGGGGATAGAGGCCGCACTATACCTGATTCGTCAAACCATTCTTATGTCAATAAGGAAACCACTAACAAGCTAGAAAAGATCCTCATACTGAGCTAAAGCCCGAGCCATATAACACCCACAGCTATACTGTAAGTCCCGGATGATCACTTACAGATAAGTCCTTAAGGAGAGAAATCTAGAGCACCATAAAATAGCCCAATGCTCTAGCCCCCTTGTTCCATGTTACTAAAAGCATCTTTTAGTGTTTATTACATATATCATTAGCCAAGTTACAAGATCATGGTTGTAGTTGAGCACTAGCATCATACTACCCAATGCAATACCCCATAGGTATCAAGGTAAAGGGTAACAAAGTATTAGGAAATCTTTAGTGACAGTCAAGGTAGACACATGCAGTATGAATAAAATGATTAACAGTGAATAGGCAACAAGGATGGTCCCATGCTATACTTGCCTTAAAACACCGATCCTTCGGCAAGGTTTAATCTTCAACGTTCTTCTTTCTCTTCTTGATCACCACGTATATCTCACCGACTGGACGAAATCATAAAGCACCACACAAGCATCCATACAATCATACACGAAGCAAACAATAGATCTAAATCAGAACAGTACACCAAATATAAAATCAAGCTGAAAAGTTTATAAAATGAATCTACGACTCGCTACGAACACATAGACCCGAAAGACACTGTAATCGGAGCTACAGTTAAAAAAATACAACTACCGAAAGATTTGCTTTATACGCAGAAAAGAAAAAACTATAGGCTTCATTTATTTCAACTATATAAAAGCTTATATAAATTGAATTAAGTCAAATTTAGATTCGAATTATAAAACTAAAGTAAAACAAATCATATTTTATTTATAAAATCTAGTCGTATAATTATTATTCAAATTAGAGTTTAAACCATGAACTTCTAGAAATAGTGACATGATAAACATTGATACTAACGCGTAGATCTTGTTGTAACGAATCTAGCACAACTTGAACGGACTAAAACAGAGTTAAAACGTAGAAGATATGAAATAAACAAGATTTCCTTTAATAAAATAATAGATTAAATCTAACCTTGAATTTTAAAAGTTAAAAAACACATCTAACAGTAGTATAAGCATGTATATTATGAAATTACGAACCAAACGCAAGTTGAACGAGTCAAATCGGAGTTAAAACGGAGAAGTTATGGCCTAAAGAAAATAGTGGTAAAACTGTAAATAGGTGAAAACGTATTTTTAAAGTCAACTGAGAAAAATATGCTTTTTAAAAGAGCAAGGCGTAATCTACGGATTGCGCAATGGACCGCGGATTTAAAAACAGAAAACTAGAAGGACTCTTTTGCAATACAACCACGTGAAGGCGTATCTTTGATTTTGGGCCGTCGGATTTGATTTGGACGGCCGAGATGGAATCAGGCGGTGGAAAAAAAACGTGGCTGGCCGGAACAGTAGCCGACACGGTGGCGCGCCATGGCCGGCGACAGAGCTCGGCAGCGAAGCAAAGAAACGGCCTTAGAGGCCAGGGTTTTCGACGGGGAAGCCACGGGAGAGGAGAGGAGGTCGAGGCGAGCTCACCTAGGCGTACCTTGGCGGCGGAGAAGGAGCAAGGCGGGCGCCGTGCTTGGCTGGCGCTGGCGGACGGCGGCGCGAACTCGCTAGGAAAAGGCGGCTCGACGAAGGTGGCTGCGGGCGATCAAGGACGGAGTAGGGAGGCGGCGCGGCTCGGTCGGTATTTATGGGGCACGGATATTGGGCGGCATGGCACCGAGGCGTGGCGGGGCGTCATGGGACTCCCAGGCGGCGGCGACGAGTCTAGCTCGGGGATGACTAGAGGAAAGGGACGACCCCGACATGCGGGTCCGGCGCGTCAGTCACAGAGGAGGCGAGGAGAAAGGAGCGCGCGCGACGTGACCTAGGCCGGGCGGACTGGCCATGCGGGAGGTGTGGCGGCAACGCTGGGCTAGTGTGCGGGGTGGGCCGTGGAGAAGCGGGACTCTGGTGCTGTTGGGCCAAGGGAAGGGACGGGGAAAAATGAGAAAAGAGAGGGAAGAAGAGAAGACGGGCCAAGGAAAAAAAACAGGCCAGTTGGGCCAGGCGGGAGGGAAAAAGCTGGCCAACAAAGAAAAGTTGGGCCTCAGGCCAGACCGAGGGAAGAGGGAATTTTCCATTTTGTTTCCAAATTCAAATCC